AAAAATTTTAAAGGGGCACCTGGGTGGCTCAGTGGGTTAAAGCCTCTGCCTTCAGCTTAGGTCTTGATCTCGGGTTCGTGGGATCCAGCCCCGCGTTGGCTGGCTCTCTGCTCGGCGGGGAGCCTGCTTCCCCCCACCCCTGCCACCACCTGCTTGTGATCTCTGTCTGTCAAATAAATAAATAAAATCTTTTTAAAAATTAAAAAAAAGAATTTATATATGAAAAACAAAACTTGAAATTTTTAATGGAAAATACAGAGGGGAAGAGGCTTCTTAAATCAGACCAAGCAATGTCTATTGACTAAAAGACTTTATAAGCATGACTACTTTATAATTAAGAATGTTTGCTCATCAAATGACACCTGAAAAGACAAACTAAATATTAGGAGATGAGAGTCACAATATATGCAACCAACCAAGAACCAGTAGCATAAGTGCATAGAAAACCTTCTTTAAATTCAGGCAAAACCCACAAACAACACTGGTAGAAATGGTAAAAATTAAGCATGAGCTTTTCACAGCAAAGGAAATGCCTACAAATAAAGACATGTTTACCATTGGTGATCAGGAAATGCAAATCGGGACCACAATGAGATAGTACTTCACACCCTAGCAAAACAATAAGAAGTCTGAGCATACCTCAGGTCAGAGAGGGTATGCATCTATGGGATTGCTCACATATTCCCCATCAGAATGTAAACTCATGCCACCATTTTGGAAAACAGTTTGGCACTATTCCGAAGCTTGAGCATTCACACACTCTTTGACCCAGCTGTCCCTCTGACTGTGCTGAGACTGTGGGAGGACCAAGAGGCATTAGCGACAGAAGGACCAATAGATAAGCTGGTGTCAAGCGGGTCAAAGGGGCTGGATGTGGGGATGGAAAGCAGCTTTCCGAAGCAAGAGTTATTTAAATCAACAAAAGATCAGAACAAGAACTTCAGAGAAAATGAAATCCAAATGGCCAATACACATATTAAAATGTGCTCAACCTCAGTTGGCATTAGGAAAATCCTAGAACCACAATGAAGCCCTTCCACACACTCACTAAAATGTTTAAATTGTCGAGGAGGATATGAAGCAGGCAGAACTCCCATGTTGGGCTGTGGGCGTGTAAATGTGCACCAGCTGCTTTGAAAAACTATATGGCTTTATCCCAGGGACACCAGCATTCTATTCCCAGGCACACATTAGACAGAAATATACACCAATTTGCACCAAAAGACATGGACAAAAATATCCACGCTGCTTTAGGATACATAGCAAAGTCATTAAGAGAGTAGCTCCTAAGAGTTTTCATCACAAACACAAATTCTTTTCCTTTCTTTTCATTGTATCTGCATGAGATGATGGTTCAAAACTAATCCTACTATGGCAATCCTTTCACAAAACATGTCAATCAAATCATCGTGCAATGTACCTGAAACTTATATCATAATGCACGGCAAGTATTTTGCAATAAAATGGGGGGTGGGAGAGGCCATCCATAGCAGTACAGTTCATAATAGCCAAAAACATGTGCCAACTTGAATGCCTCGCAGCAATGCAATGGATAAATCGTGGCACACTCACACAGTAAATCTCATATGGCCATGAGAACAAATGTACTACAAATACAACTTAGACTGATGTGGGAAACAAAGGCAAAGAAAAAGAAACATTCAATTTCCTTACTGCTTGCAGCCCGTTGACAAGTCCTTAACATAGAGTGACATTCCTCCCGGAACTCAGCTGCCTCCACGTTAAACTTCCCTAAGGGCAAAAGGCGATCTTAGCTTAACATTATCCTGACCCCCAGGATCCTATAAGTCTACCTTATCTTGTAAAAATTCTTTGAAAAACTTCCTTTATCTCTACTCCCATATATATATGGGAGTATATATATATATTATATATATATATAATATATATATATTTTTTAAGGTTTTATTTACTTATTTGACAGCGAGAGAGATAGAACACCAGTGAAGAGTGGAGCAGAGGGAGAGGGACAACCAGACTCCTTGCTGAGCACAGAACCTGATGTGAGGCTCAATCCCAAGACCCTGAGATCATGAGCTGAGCCTAAGTCAAGGGTAGGCTGCCCAATTGACTGAGCTCCCTGAGTGCTCCTCCCCAAGATACATGGTAACAATCATTCTCATCCTCCAAGCATATGGCCCACTGATATACATCTGAAGAGTCTCATGACTATGGTTTTACTAGATAGTAATAAATGACCTTTTCCTAACAATAGCTAGCCCCCTTGAGGTCCTGGAGACCTTGCTTCCAAAATTCCTTAGAGACTTATGTTGGGTCAGCGGCTCCGGGAATGCAGGAGGAACAATAGAAATGACCACCATCTTCCAGGCCACCATCTTCCAGGCCCCCCCCTTCCTTAACCCTTGACTCCCCTGCCAAAAGGATGTATGCCCAGGTCACGTCTCCACAGGTAACCCAATACCTAGCAGGAAACAGGAGCATCAGGACCCCCCCCATACCCTCCAATCACCAAATACCTTACCATGTATGGATATGAGCCCATGCCCTGCCTTGGCCCAATAAAAGACCCCGCCCACTCCCTCCCAGCTCGACTTCCTCAACTCCCCCTTCCTGAGTCACAGAACCTCCCCAGACAATGCCGACCTCCTCCCACCACGACTTTCCTGGCTCCCCTTCTCCTGAGCCCTGAAACTTCGCTGGAGAGCACCTTTAATAAATCTTGCCTTGTGCCTACCTCGCCTGGTGTTGTGTTTACCTTGCATGTAAAACTTTACAATTTACGCTGTCCCTAACCCCTCTCACTTGAAAGTATATAATCAATCACAACCCCAGTGCAGCTCTTCCGGCCCAAAGGTCCTGTTCCTGTGCTTTAATAAAACCACCTTTTTGCACTAAAGATGTCTCAAGAATTCTTTCTTGGCTGTTGGCTCTGAACTCCACTATTTCCTACATCACAGATGGTTCTCAAAAATACAATCTTGAGCCAAAGTAGCCAGTCCCCAAAGAGTATATCCTGTAAGATTCACTTTTCATGAAGTTCAAAAGCACAGGTAAGGACAGTGATGGCCTACAGGGAGGAGGAGAGTGGCTGACCAGGACATGGGGTGCTGGTCATTTTCTATTCGTTGATCAGGGTGGTAGTTCCATGAGTGTGTTCACTTTGTGAAGGTGTATTCGTCTGTACATTCAGGATTTGTGCATTTTACTATATGTTGAATACACTTCAATTCAAGGTTGTAAGGACCTGTTTAGCCAGAGTGCTTCCATCCGGTTAAACAATAACTTTGGTGTTTAACCCTTAAAACTGTCCCTACTTAAAAACAAGTCCCGGAAACCAGTCCCAGGTAACACAGCCCAAATGCAAGGGTGGGTCAGGCCAAGTGGAGACATCCAATCAGTGGGGGAGAGGGGGGTGCATACTGTCTCCCTAGTTACCAAGGATGGTATGGGCCCCGCCCTTTGGGAGCCTTTTGGGCGCCAATTCTCACTAAGGTGATAGGCTAATTCAAATATCTACTAGGGTAAATTGTAATTCAACTGGTCACTTATGTGTGACCTAACATAACTGTACAGCTTTCTCTGTTTATTACAATTACATTGGCCACCTGTATGTGGCCAGGCCCAACCACACGGCCTTTGCCCTTGAAAGCTAGTCTGTAAAGCAGAGAGGGGTATCCCTCTCTGTAAGAGGCATGGCCCCGAACGTTCGTTTTGATTCTTGATGCTTGGCGCGAAATAAAACTTTGCTTGACCTTCGCTTTGTATAAGTCTCGCTCCTTTAATCACGGACCCATTATTGGGGACCTTTCAAAGGTGTATTTGTAAAAGGAGAGATTTAGGAGAATCAACCAATAGATGTGGATGAAGGGGGACAGAGTCTAGTGTGACTCTATGGCTTTGGCCCGAGGAGTCAAGTTCATGGAGTTACCCTTAACTGAGATGGCAAAGAGCAGAGGGAAGGTTGGCACGGGCAGGTGAGGGGAAATCAAGTTTGATCTCAGACATTCTATGATGGAGGTGACCATCAGGCTTTCAAGGGAAGATGTCAAGTAGCCACCTAGATATTCAAGCCTGGAGCCCCAGGGGATGTCAGAGCTGGAGATGGAGATTTGGAAATCTTCACTGTGTAGATAGACTACAAGGCCATGAGCGTGGATGAGATCTCTGAGGGAGGGAGTGTGAAGAGAAGAGAGAAGCCCCAAGGCCTGAGGGGGCAGGAGGGTGCTCAAACATTTAATCTGATAAATGACAAGAGCCACAAAGGAGACCAAGGAGCTGCCAGAGAGATAGGAAGGAAACCAGGAGAGCATGCCGTCCATTGGCCAGGTGGTTTCAAGGTCACGCTGATAGGGTAAGATGAGATCTGAGAACTGATCCTGGATTTAGCAACATGGAGGCTGTTGGTGAACTGGCCAAGGGTAGTTCCATGGACAAGTGGCATCTGAAGTATGGAGTAGGGGAGGACAGAAAGGAAGGTGAAGGCAGGGGTTATAGACAGCTCTTCCAAGCGTGTTGCCATGCAGGCACGCTGAGAAATGGCGCAGGAGATGGAGGAGATGTTGGGGCCCAGGAATTTTTAGGTGTGAACTATTACTGCACATTCGTGGAAGGAGGAGCAGTCCACAGGATAGGAGAGACAGGAAATAATTATTGGAGCCAGGTCATTGGACAGATGAAGACAGCATTATATTAATCTACTTGGGGCTTTACCTTCCAAGTGAAGGGCAAGATTCAAGCAAACAGAGAAAGGTCATTGGCAGATTAGGCATTGCTTGATACACTTCCTTTTCTCCCTCCTTCCTCCCAGGTCCTGCTTAAGTGGATTCAAAGGTTTCTCCTAGGAAGCCCGTCCCAGCCACCTTAGGGCCAGAGGCCTTGAAGCTGGGTGGGGCTGGGTGGGGCATGCTCCTCCTCCATTCCTGCCACAAACTCTTGTGCAGCCTCCAATATCAACAAAAATCAGTTGGTGTCGCGCACCACAGACACGGATAAGCCTCTGGAGCCATTAGAGAAGCCAGCATGGTGAAGTTTGCACCGCTGTTCATGCCGTGGGAGCGCAGGCTGCAGACCTTCATGGTCCTGCAGTGGGTCTTCTCCTTCCTGGCCCTGGGTAAGGCGAGCTGGGCTGGGGGCTGGGAGATCATGGACACCTGCCACTCCAGGTGCACAAGTGTATTGATGGTGGAAAGACATTCGCCCTAATGGGGACTTTGCTGCTTTCAGAGCTCTCAGAGCATGGGGATAGCAGGGTGTGGTAGAAGCCATTGTGTGTGGCTTTGGACAGGTTACTGAGTTTCTAGCTTAGTATGAGGACAGAGACCCTGCCTCAGGCTGCCTGGTGGTGGTGTGTGGAAGGACCTAGGTGATCACAGAAAAGTTCCAGGTTCTGTAGGGCTTCTCAGAAGGAATGGATTTCCTGCCTTCCTTTCAGAGAGGAGGAAACAGACTGGTGGGTAGGGAGAGAGAAGCGAACAGGGAAAGAATAGGAGTGTGAGGGAAGGTAGAGGCTGCCAGGGGACTGGGGCATGAGGGAGGGTCTGAGGCGAGCCTGGCTCAGAGTCTGGCTGGGCAACTGAGCCCCTGACCTCTGCAAGTCTCTAATTCTAATCCGCTGTGGAGTGGCAATATCACTGCCCAGCTGGTAGAGCTGTTGTGGGATGAAGTGAGGAATGTGCTTGCTTTGCCCAGCGCACACTGGGCTGGACCCCTGGGCGGGGGTCCCATGGGAAGTATGCTTAGGTCCCCCTGCTCACCCCATCCCCACCACAAGCACACTGATGCTGGTCAGGGAGACCACCCTGGCACAGACTCCACTCTGCTGAAGGGAACTCTTGAGGAGGGCGGGGGACAGAGCAGGGGGAGAGAGTGATGGGGGAGGGGTGGGGGGACCGGGGGTGGGGGCGGGGGTTGGTGTGTGTGTGGGATTCCTTAGTTCCTACACCAGCGCCAGACAGTGTAGGTAGGCTGTGCTTCCCTGGGGGCTGGTCTTCAGCCTGTGCACGAATGCCATTATCCAGGTGTTAACAGTCCGGGGATTCTCTGTACCGGCTGGTCACCAGCATCACACACACACACACACACACACACACCCAGGTGCTCCCTCAGAACCCCCTCGCAGTTCTGCCTCTGAAAGATTCACTCCCAGCAAAGCGGGCCCCCAGCACCCTGTTTCCCTTACGATTCCCCTGTGTCTCTCTCCCAAGGGTTCTTAAACATTTTAAACACCCCTAGCAGAGAAACAAAATAACTTAACTGCCCAAGGTTGTAGGTCTGGAGTCCTGGGCTCCTTCTACAGCCAAAGGAAGAAAGGGAAGGAGGGGCAGAGAGAGGAGAAGGGCAGATGGTGTAGGAGGTGGTGTGCGTAAGAGGCTAAGAGACTGGTGGAGACAGCCTGGGAAGGAGGCCTAACAGGGTTGACTTCGAGTCTGCAGGCTCCTGGACAAAGGTCCAGGAGCCTAGAGGTAGGCTGTGGCCTGGGGATCCCAGGGGGTAAGGTTCGTCAGGCCCAGCATGCCTTCTGTGATCTTGGGGTCCCGGAGTGTGTTTGAACATCCTGTCCCTGCACCCCACCCGGCCTCGGTCCCCCAGCCCTGCGAGCCCGGGCCATAGGAGCCTGGGATTGTCAGGAGCGGCCCAGAGAGGTCTAGTAGCTCCGGGCCTGGAGGACTAGAAGGAGGAAGGCTGGGAAAAGGGATGTGGGCCCCCTGGTCCTGGGAGTAGGAGGTTTTACCCTATCCCTCATCCTGGGAGCAAAGGGAAGCCTCAGAAGGGTTTAAGGTAGGGGAGTGACGAGGTCCACTCTGGGTGCTGAAGTTCCCTGTGGCTGCAGGGGAGGTATGTACTGTGTTTTGAGTGTGGGGGGATGGGCTGATGGCAGGGAGCCGTCCCAGTCCCCATCAGGGGCCGCCACACTATGGCACATGGCCGAATCCTGCCCACTGACTGCTTTTGTATTTGTACAGTTTATGAGCTAAGTTTACATTTTCAAGGGGTTGTATTTTAAATGGTTAGGGACCTATGTAATATTATCCACGTTGGGTCTTGAGCCACAAAGTCTAAAATATTGACCATGTGGTCCTTTAGGAAAAAGACTGCCAAGTGTGGTCTAGTGAGGCTGGCAGAGGGTGGGGAGATGTGGCCCCATTTGGGAGCTGTTTAGGAGATGGGGGCCACGGGGCAGATTGAAAGGCCCTTGGTCCATTGACAGAGGACTGGATGAACAACACGTGGTCGGCACACACGAGAGCGTAGCGTTTAGCTCCAAAAGGGAAGGGAATTCTGACACGTGGGGCAGCACGGATGGCATGAGCGGGCCGCTGTGGCATCATGTGAAGTGACACAAGCGAGTCACCAAAAGACCAACACTTGATTCTATGAGCTTCCTAGAACAGTCCCTTTTGTAGAGCTGGAAAAGCAAATGGTGGCCAACAGGGGCTGGGGGAGGGGGCTCGGGGAGTCAGAGGTTCAAATTTGGGAGTGGGAGGGAAGGGAGAGGGGGAGGTGTCCCGAAGATGGTGGTAGTGATGGCTACACAGGGAATGGACTTACTGCCTCTGAACTGTGCTTAAAAATGGTTAAGGTGATACATTTTATGTTAATGTGCCTTTTATCGCAGTAACAGTTTAAAACACAAAGTGCCCCAAACGGGGACCCTGGAACGTTAGCTTTCTGAGGGCAGGACTCTGTGTCTGTCCTTCAAGGCCGCCCACTAGCACCTGGCCCGTCAGAGCTGCTCTGTGTAAAGTGAACACCCGTGAGCCCCGAGTGAGCTATGTCGTCTGCCTTATGAACTCTACCACTGTTTGGACTGGGTCAAGGTCCCCTCCACCAGGAAACCTGCCAAGAATGACACGCCCAACTACCGTCCTTTCCAGTAGAATATACAACTGAAAGCTGACCTTCTTTAAGAGAATGAGTGCATGGTGTTGAGTGGAGGAAAGAGGGTGGGGAAGGAGCCATATTCTCTAGCAGTGTTCTTTCCATCAGCATCAGATTAGAGACGGCCTACAGACCCGCTGACCCTGAAATGAAGCTGGGATTACCCTATGGCAAGGGATTCGGACCTGCAGGTCAGAGGGAGAGCTCCTCACTGGGCCTTGTCCTAGCCCAGCCCTGCTACACCCCTGAGCATCGGCCAGCCAGGGGTTTGGCCTCTTTCTCCTTCCCTCCTTCACTGGGAAAGGGCACTGTGGGAAGGAGGAATCAGCATGAGCAAAAGCTAAGGGACTAAAGGAGTTCAGGGAGCTATAAGAACAGCAGTTAATGTGGCCAGAGCACTGGGGGTGCAAGTGGGCAAGGAGAGGCTGGAGCAGGAGGCGGGTAGGGCCAGCCAGCTCCTCCCAGAGTTACAGGAAAGCCAGGGCAGGGCTTTAAAGAGAGGAAGACCTGGCCAGATTGATCTGTGAAAAGATGGGGCAGAGGGTGGGCAGAAAGAGTGTCCCCATTTTCTCTGAGGTCCCCAAAAATGGAAACCAGAAACGGATAATCCAATCAGTCCTGAAGCAGGCATTTACTGAGCACCTGGGGAGTGCAGACTACAGAGAGAGGGAGGTGGGACGGGGTGGGGGGGGTGGTATAGGGGGGAGTGGGGGGTTGGGGAGGGAGGAGGCCAGAGCGAACAAGGGAGACAGGACAGTGGGAACTATGAATTTTGAAGTTGGACCTACCTAGGTTCCAGTCTCCTCCAAGCAAGACACTGGCGGGTGCATTTCCTCCTTGAAGACGTGGGAAGCTGAGCTCTTCCTCCCGGGGCCACAGGCTGGAGGGGATGGTGCTGCTAGTGCGGGGCATACGGGCAACTCAGTGTGGACGTCTCACCTCCTTCCTCTCAAACCCCTGATAGCTCTTGCTTCCCTCCCCAGCCCAGATCTGCATTGTGGTCTTCATAGGCCTCCTGTTCACAAGATTCTGGTTAGTCAGTGTCCTGTATGCGACCTGGTGGTACCTGGACTGGGACAAGCCATTGCAAGGGGGCAGGCCCATCCAAGCCCTAAGGTGCTGCTTCCTGTGGAAGTACATGAGGGACTATTTCCCCATCTCGGTGAGTACTGGTCTGGTGGGGATGGGGTTGCGGGGGAAGTGCCACCCAGGCTGCAGGGAGCAGAATGCTGGGCTGGGTGGGAGGGGCCAGAGCTTACACCACTGTGGGGCCTGGGGAAGAGTCCCGCTTCGCTCTGGCTGTCATTTCCCAGGTTTGGGAAAATGTCAGGGTTTGGAGGAGCTCTGTAGGCACACACATATATCCTACAGGTGTAACCCCTCAGCGGCCAGGGAGGGGGTGAAGGTGATAAGCTCAAGGTCCCAAGAGACCATCAAGCCCCGCCCTTTATCAGAGTGGGGAGAATGACACCCCGAGAGGGACAAAGGTGTGACCAACTCCACATGACAAGTTCTGGTTTTGAGGCGTGTGCATGAACTATGGGGGAAGGGGCAGGGGAGAGAGAGCCCTGAACTAGTTCTTGGTTCTGTCCTGCCCCATCTCCAGATTGCTGGGTGTCCTTGAGCAAAACCTCGCCCATTCTGAGCCTCAGTTTCCCCAGATATCTAGAAAGCAGACTGACCCCTCCTCCCCTGTGCACATTTGAATCTCTCACTCTGACTCGGGGCATCTCATTGTGGATACTTGACCCTGGACTCAAACGTCAGTCTTGAGTAAAGCGGACCCTCAGATTTTCGTGAACAGACCCGCTGCCTCCTTTACCGAATGCCAGGCAGACAATCCTGGGACTTGAGCGGCCGGGCAGGGCTGGCGTATTGGCTGGATGGGACAGGATGGGAAGGCAGTGGGGAACACAGAGAGGTGCCAGGCAGGGAAAGCTGGCCGTCCCCTGGAAAAGGGAGAAGAAAGGCACAAAGTGCGGCCTCTGGAGCAGGACAGACCTAGGTTCTAATGCCAGCGCCGCCTCAGCCTGTGGTGCCCTTGGGGGAGTTTCATAGCCTCTCTTAGCCTCAGTGTCCTCATAGGTAATGTGCAGATGACGCCACACACGTCACTGAGTTGGACGGATTTGCTGAGTCAGCAAGAATGCACCATGTAGGTTGGCAGGACACTAGGTGCTAGTATTACATGACCGAGTCAACGTGGCTATGGTTGGGGGGAGGGCTCTGACAGCCCAGAGCCCAGCTGCTCTGACCTTCACACCTGCCTGGCTTCTCCCATCCTGGAGCTCCACCTCTTCCCACCCCTCCTGGAGCTAGGTCCCTAGCTGGCAAAGGGGGAGGGAGTGGAGGACACAGATTCCTGGGCACTCAGCAGTGGATTCAGGGCTCCTGCCTGACTCCCTTCTGAGAGTCCTGGGGCCTGGCGAGGACTTGGGGAAGCTGGGAAAGAGCTGGGGTACGAAGCCCCGAGCTCCACAGTGAGCGGGCCTCCTGGGCAAAGGGCAAGGGTGGGCCGGGCAGGGCGGAGCAGTAGGGCATCAGGGTGGGGGCTGGGGAGAGGGCAGGAAGTTGAGTGGCAGAGAATTCCACGCTCGTGAGGGGTGCTACTTGTGGAAGGGCAGAGTGAATGGGCAGCCGCTGAACTAACCCAGGAGTCCATGTTGGGGGAGGACTTCTCCCCATATTTGCTTCTGGGATCTTGTCCACAAAGACAAACAGGGTCTGCGCCTATCCTATCCACTGTCCTTCCTGATCCTCCCCTAGCCAGGCACTACTGGCCCTGGTGGGACACTGCCCTGATCTGCCTCAGTCCTTTGTGTAGTGGTTCTGGATTGATGCCCACTGAGGGCCAGTTGGATCACCCCTGCAGAGGGCAGGCAGTACCACCACGTGGCCAGCAGAGGGCGAGATAGCATGCGCTTGACTTTGCCAGTCCTAGGCTGGGAGCCTGCAGGGCTGGGGAACCGGCCCACAGATCCCCTTCCCCACCTCTTCCCAGAACACCCTCCCACTCTTCCACACACTTTTACGGCCCCCGCCCCGCTGAGATCTTGAGAGGGGCGGAAGGTAGGTAACTCTCCCCCACACACTGACAGAATTCTGTTTTCCCTTGTCAAATGCATATAGATTTCCGAGATTCTTCTGTCAGTTCTTAGGGTGATTTTATGAACTAGCATCTATGGATGGAATTCCAAGCAGAATTAGGAAACTCTCTGGGCCTTGCAGCTTTCTGAACTCATGCTACAGGCTTCTAAAGAGCCTGTGAAGAATCAGGCGATGTTTCCCGTAGGAGACACTGATCCCACCTCATGCTGAAGGCCAGCCCCAGAGCAAGGTTCCCCCGGTGAAGATTTCATCCTCCTGGAATCAACACTGTCTCCACAGGCCAAGGCCTGAGAAGGGATGGACTGCTGTGGCCTGGTGTCAGGAAATGCTGCAGGCCTGGGGAAGCACAGGATACCTCCCCTCCCACACCTGGGACCTCCCTCTGTTCCTCACAGCCCTGTGGATGTCACTGGGGACTTCAGGCCCTCCCTCCCACTCCCCCCCTACCAAGAATACTGGGGGCTCTTAATCTGAGTCAGAAGAAGGTGGGTAGCCAGCAGCCTGCCCAGGACAGATCTCCAGCGTGCACTTGGACGGAGTAACACTTCATCCTGTGATGGCTCCTTTCATCACGGGAGGGCTCTTGCCTGGAAGAAGGTCTTCCTTCACACTGAGCTCTGCCTGTCCTGACCACCCGCCCCGCCCCAGGGGTCCTGCCTCTGCCTTGGGCACAGCTGTTCTCTCAGCCCTCCAGCTGCCCTGCAGGGAGGGGGCCTCCTTCCTGCTCAGTTCTGTCCTTGCTGTCCCTCCCCAGCCAGCAGCTCTCAGGAGGCTTTCTGTGCACAGACATTTGGGGCTAAATGATGGATGTGGGGGTGCCTTCATCCCTGGCCTCTACCCACTAGTAGCACTCCCCTCCACCAGGTGTGACAACCAAAAACGTCTGCAGACATTACATGTCCCCTGGTGGGCTCAGGGAACTGACCCTGGTTGAGAACTGCTCTGGCGCCCAGGGTCTGACTCCAAAACTCCTCCCCCACTAGCTACCTGAATCCTGACCAGTCAGCTCTTTATCTGGACTCTGCTACAGTCCACCCTGCACACAGCAGCCAGGATACTCAATGCCACAACAGCTGTGACTCCCGTGACACCTAAAAATCAAATCTAATTTTTGCCCAGCCTGCAGGTCCCTGGACCCCGGACCCCTGCTCATGCCTCACCTTCCCCCTTTGCCTTTCAAGTTCTCCAGGCACGAGCTGTGTTCCCTGGGCTGGCACCCTTACTGGAAGTGCACCCTTTCACCCCATTAACCCTCCCCCCCGCTTTTCACCTGGGGACTCCTGCAAGGCGGCAGAGCCTGCAGGAGCCAGGCCACCTGTGTTAAAGTGTTGCCTCTGCCACTTTACTAGCTATGTGACCTAGAAGCAGTTAATTAACCTCGTGCCTCAGTTTCATCTGTAAAATAGGGATGTTGTCACCACTACGTCCCTGGCAGCATGAACAGAAGATGGCTTAAGTCAGTATACTGACGGGAGGTGCTGGGAATGGGCACCACCTGGGGCAGTCTTTCCAGCTATTCATGCTTAGCACATCCTGTATTAAACTCTAAGGCATTTTTTTTTTCTTAAAGTAGTCTCCACACCCAGTGTGGAGCCCAACACAGGGCATGAACTCATGTCCCTGAGATCAAGACCCAAGCTGATATCAAGAGTTGGGGGACTGAGCCACCCAGGCACCCCTCTAAGATATCCTTCATGGTAAAGCAGCAGTATTTTATGTACCACTAAGAAAAAAATCCCTCCAGAGGAATCATCAAACGCATTTTGAACACATAATGTTAAGATGCAAAGGAATGGTGTATCTTAGAATTGAGGGGATACAGCCGCAGATGTCAGTGGGTGTCTGTTCTGTGAGCCCATGAGTGCAAGGGGGAGAGGGCAGGGGCGAGGGGGTCTGAAGCCCATCTTGATGGCATACCAAGGCTGCCAGGGCCAGGGAGAATAAATAGCCAAGCCTTTCCTTCCATCTGGCTGTGATGGGAGGAGACAGGAAAGGACTCGAGTACCTACACACACACACACACACACACACACACACACACACACACACGGCCAAAGGCCTGAAGCTGGAAGGGATTCCTTTGTTGTAAAGGGGGTGACTCTAAAACTTTGATATATATCATAATCCTATGGGAAATCTTCCACAAATCAGATGCTGCAAGGCCCGAGCCAGAATACTGAATCAGACCTTGCTTGCCCTGCATTTTTAAACTGCCAAGTTAATCGAGGTATATGAAAGGTCATGAACAGGTTCTCCAGGGCCAGGTCTTGGAGCCGGGAGGGGCAGGCTGCTGGTGCAAGAAGCGCCTTCTCCTGAGAGCCCTGGACATTCCAAGTTTGACTAGAAAGGAAATGGCCCCTGAGACAGTCCTGAGTCTCGGGATGTCTCTCTGGTTCTAGAACAAAGGCTCTCTCAGGTGCTTTCAACGGGAGACAGTGGAACTGAGCTCAGGTCATCTGTGTGGCTTTGGGCAGGTTGCTTACACCACTCTGCACCTCAGTTTGCTCAGCTGTCAAATGGGGGCTCTCGCACTTCAGCCCCCCTCCTTAGGGCCACAGTTACACAAGCCGGCGGCGTGGGTGCTTTGTGAGCCATAAAGGAGCCATCAGGACAGTGGCCGTCACCGCCAAGGGTGTGAGAGGGCACAAGGGCATTTGTTGAGAGATGGGCCTGGGGAGACAGCAGGACAGTGATGGCCCCATCAGTGTACACGCTTGCACACGCACAAATCAGTGCCCAGGCAGATACTGGCACACGTGCCTAGACACTGGCTCTCTCATTCACCAGGGTATTTCTCTATATGCAAAGGCTTCTTTATTAAGGATAGTCATTCTTTCATTCATTTGTTCATTTATACATTCATTGTTCATTCAAAATAGGTAATATGTTCTTGTTCAAAATTCCAAAGGGACGAGGGGGTACGTGGGTGAAAAGTCCCCCCGACCCAGAGGCCACTAGGACCACTAGTGTTTGGTGTGTCTGCAAATGAACAAGTGCATGTCCCCTTTCCCAGCACAGTCAGTGACACTCTGCCCACCTTGATTTGCCCTTTGCTTTGTCCTAACGAGTGACTGGGGCCGTCTTCCCTGCCAGGCCAGGGAGATCTTGCTCCTACCTCCCTAGAGCTGCCCTGTGCCCCACTGTGTGGATGTTGTGAGAATTTGCCTCAATGGGCCCTGTTGATGGTCATTGGAGGGGGTGCTGAGGTTTGGATAGTACCAAAAAAATGATGCTTCGGTTAGTAATCTCATCCACGTGTCATTTTACAAAATGACACAGCCAAAATGAAATACAGTGCTGAAATTCCTCAGCAGTGGAGTTGCTAGGGTAAAAGGTCAGTCCTCATTTTAGGTATTCAGCTATTGCGCAATTGCCTTTCCAGGGCTTGTGCAAAATTGCCTTCCTGCTGGCCGAGGAAGAATTCGTGTGCCCGTGCGTCAGTGTGAGGAGCCGGGTGTGTTTGTAGAGGAACACGCTGGATGGGTTCCCAAGCAAGCGCCTTTCCCACTGAGGATAACCAGAGGTTTCTCTCTTCTGGCTTTAGCTTCACCTCTAATAAGCTCCGCCTGCGGGAGCAGAGACCTTTGTCCTCATGTGGGAGGCAGTGGTCTCTCCAACTGTGGTCCCTGTAGGTTTCTGCAAAGGATCAGTGGGTAACTGGGGGCCATACTGGGCAGGGGTGGGGGGATTGCAGAAACCAAGTCCAGGTGAAGTGCTGGAGAATCTGGGGTTAGTCGGCCTGGATGCGGGCAGTTGGCTCATATCCCTGTCACTGCCCCCAGGTCCCTCCAGGCTGCTCTGAGGACAGGCAGCCAGGCCTCTGGGACCCCAAAGGTGGCAGCAAGAATTCTCAGGGAGCCACCCGCTGCAAGTTTTAGCTTGATGACAGGACGAACTTTCACTGTGGCAAAGCTGAGCCGGGGGCAGAAAGGGCTGCCCTGTGCCGGGGAGTGCAGACTGCTGTGGGAACTGGACGCTTCCATCAGGGGCTTGAGGCATGGCCCAGGGGCCTCTGGGGCCTTCAGACTCTTGATGGCTGTGCCTCCTGAAGTGCAGGGCAGTGTAAAAGGTGGGCCTGCGGTTCCTGGCAGGGTGGCGGAGGGATTGTCCCCTACCATCACCTAGTCACCGCCCGCAGCTATAGTCTGCACCTTGGATCATGGAGCAACCTGTCCAGGAATGGGCAGGCCAAGAGCAGCATTTGTTAGCTCAGTTCCTGCCCTTCCACCCTCATCCTGCTATACCTGGGAGCTGCTAAAGACAGCAGCTCTCCTCTCCCAGGCTATCTGTGATGGCTGGTGGTCTCTACCTCCCACTCCATGCTGCAGACATGACCAGACCTTGGCAAGTTGCTTGCCAGCAGAAGACAATGGTTGAGGGGCAATGAGGGTCAGCATAGGGGGAGCAGGGAGCCCCAGGGAGACACTTGCATTGTACAGAAGGGTAGTTAAGCCTTCTTGCTGCGTGCTCTTCCAACCACTACTGCTAAGATAGCAAGATTGCAACGCTCATTCCCAGGTCTTAAGTGCCCATTTTTCTTACATTGAGTTTTGTTAAACTGGGGCTCTTCCAGCATGGTCGCACCCCCGTGTGTCCCTTTGATGCCTTCAAATGATACCTGGTCCTGTAGTAATCTTGGTAATTTCAGGGTACTGCACACCAGGGCTTCTTAGCAGCCCTGGGAGGTAGGCAGGTCAGGGCTAAATGTCCCCATTTTACAGATGGAGAGCCTGAGAGGGAAACAGTTTGTCCAGAGTCAGCCATGAATACGAGAGGGTGTCCCTGGGTGCATTCACACACCGTATCTCAGTATTCCTAAGAAACTGAGGCTCAGAGATGGAGAGAGCTTGCCCAAGGTCACCCTGATGAGTGGCATGGTCAGGGTTGGCGCACAGGTCCCATCCAGCTCACCGGGTTTCTGTCCTTGCAGCTGGTCAAGACTGCTGAGTTGGACCCCTCCCGGAACTACCTTGCGGGCTTCCACCCCCACGGGGTCCTGGCGGCCGGAGCCTTTGTCAACCTGTGCACGGACAGCACGGGCTTCCCTTCACTCTTCCCAGGCATCCGCCCCCATCTGATGATGCTGACCCTGTGGTTCCGGACCCCTTTCTTCAGGGATTACATCATGTCGGGGGGTGAGTCTTTACACCCATGGGTAGCCCAGGAGGATGAGGCTGGAGGCAAGGGACGAGGCATCTTAGGGAGGGGAGGGCTGCCAGCACTTCCATACTTCTTGCAAGTGCGCGTGCAATGGGAGAAGTAGCTAGACCCAAAGGAGTACTCTGCACAGCCGTGAGCCGGGAGAGGACTCAGTTCCAGTCCTCAGGGGACACCAAACTGGAAGCAGTGGGGTGAGAACCTGGGCCTCTGCAGCCACTTTCGGTGGTCTCTCTCTCCTGTCTCACCCACACCACCATCCCTGCCCACTCCCCGTACCTGAGCACCTTCCTCTCTCCCCAGGGCTGGTTACGTCAGACAAGGAGAGCGCTGCTCACATTCTGAGCAGGAAGGAAGGTGGCAATCTGCTGGCCATCATTGTAGGGGGTGCCCAGGAGGCCCTGAACGCCAGGCCGGGAGCCTTCACGCTGTTGCTCCGGAACCGCAAGGGCTTCGTCAGGCTCGCCTTGATGCATGGGTATCTGGGGAGAGGGCTCTTGGCTCCGGGGGAGATTTGCAAGGGTTAGATTTTGGTGGGAAGACAGCAGAGACTAAGTGGCTTGTATTTTGGCAGGGAGATTCTCAGTCTGTTTACAACAAAGATTAAATTCTGGTGAGAGATGTACTATGGCATGCCCACACACCAGAGAAGATTTCAGAAGGGAGGCTTGGTGATCAAAGGCACTAAGTGGGAAGGGACATGTCTGCCCGAAGCTGGTACAAGATTTGACATCTGTGGGATCTGGGAGGATGGAGTGTGGGGCATATCACAGAACTCTCCTACTTAGAAGCATCTTTGAAAAACACAAGCTAGCTGGGGCTGGAGAGATTTCTCTGCAAAGCTCACAGATGTTTTCTATCTGAGAGGGCTCTGAAACATTCTGGTCTGTCTGTCCCTTACAACTGGGAGATTGTGGCCCTGAGAGGGGCCAGGACCTGCCCAAGGTCAGAAAGCAAAGGTATGGCAGGGCTGGGAGGCAACCCAGGCCTCTGACTGCTGACCCAGGGCTCCATCCTCTGCTCTAATTCCTGGTCGCTGGGTCCCTGCAGGAAGCTAGCGGGGCCTCCTATGAGACCTTCCACGCATATCCTGTCCTGTCTCTCTCCAGGGCAGCTCTGGTGCCAATCTTCTCTTTCGGGGAGAATGAACTCTTTGACCAGGTTGAGAACTCCCCTGGCTCCTGGTTGCGCTGGATCCAGAACCGGCTGCAGAAGATCATGGGCATCTCCCTCCCGCTCTTCCATGGCCGTGGTGTCTTCCAGTACAGCTTTGGTCTCATACCCTACCGCCAGCCCATCACCACTGTGGGTGAGCCACGAGCCAGCCTGGCCAGGCGGTGGAGGGGGGCGCTGCCTACAGGGAAAGAGGCCTGGGCTCTGGGCTGCAAGGGGACATGGAGACAGGTCAGACACATCCTTGCCCTCCTGGAGCTCCCATTCTAGACCGGGAAACATATGAGACCAGGAAACAGACACTGCTTATCAAGCAGGTAAGCCTGATAGAAGGTGCTCTGGGATGGGAACTGAAATAGGCACAAGGAACAATAGTCACCACGGATTACAGAGTGGCTGCTGTGTGCCAGGCAGGGTCCCTAATGTGCAGCAGCTCGATCTGCCCTAACGACCTTCAAGACAGGGACTACCATCCCCCCTTCACTAATGGCAAACTGAGGCTCTGAGAAGTTAAGTAACTTCCAAAAGAACACCCTGCCTTTGAATAACAGGATTTATTTGACTTTTTATGTTTCTAGAGAAGGAGGTTTAATTCTGACCCAAAGGATCTCATAAGGCTTACTGGAGAGGATGGGGACAAGGAAAGGGCATTCCAAATCTATTAGAATTGTGTATAGAGTAGGAAATGCTACGCTTGGATTAGAGCCTGAGGGATTTTCCCATAAACAATGGGCATAAGCTCTTGTCCATGGACTCAGCACTGTCTTTTTCAGCTCTTGGGACTCCTCATTTGCTTTCTTCTTGGATCCCAGCTAGATCCCTCTGACGAAGCCTATAGAGGAAGGTTCGTCTTTTTCCATCTGTTTATTTGCTAGTTGAGCACAGACTTGGTGTACCCCTACACCATGACTTTCACTGTATATTGTGGCAATATTTTCAAGAGTGTTCATACTCCTGCTGCCCCCAGACCTATTGCCAAGAGAAGGCTGGGGAGCGATCACCCCAACCAGGCAGGAGTAGAGGAAGGAGGTCACTTAGGGCTTCCCTAGAACAGGCCAGATGGAGAGAGGAGGAGGAGGAAGAGCTGTGTGGGCTGTGGGCCCACCTCATCCTAGATCTACAGGTACCTCTGTTGATGACATGTTGGGCTCCCAGAACCCTGTGGTCTGGAAATTATGAGCATATCCCCAGGATTTGAAAACTGGAATGGGATTCTTCCTCGCTGTGTGACTTGAACAAGCTGCTTAGCCTCTCTGAGCCTCATTGCACCACCTGTCAACAGGGGATAAGAGCTTATGTCCCCATAGGAGTGTTACAAGGATTAAAGGAGATGATGCGTGGCAAGGGCCTGGTGCATTCCATGGCATGTGGCAATGCCCACAGGTGTTACTATATCAGAATCTTGGAGTTACCATAACATTTTAGAAGCCATCACCCAACACAGGGTTGAAAGGGATGGCAGTAAGAGCACTTTGTGCAGGGATGCTGTGGGGTAGGGCTCCTGCAGCCTCATGGTTCCTGCTCTGGACCAACACCCACACTTGTGCCTTGCAGTGGGAAAGCCCATTGAGGTGCAGAAGACACCGTACCCCTCGCAGGAGGAGGTGGACAAGCTGCATCAGCGCTATATCAGGGAGCTGTGTGACCTCTTCGAAGCCCACAAGCTGAAGTACAACATCCCTGTGGACCAACACTTGGAGTTCTGCTGAGCGCCTCCCCAGAGGGCAGGATTGGCGTTATGGAGCCCAGTGGAAGGTGCTATGATCTAAGAAGGCTTCCTGGAGACATCTATCGAACATACCTTCACAGCCTTCCCAGACCTCTGCAAATCCAACCACACCAGGCCCCAAGTCCCAGCCGGTGAGCGGGAGGGGACACCCGGCTCTGGCGTTGGTGATTTTCACCCCTCCTGCGAAACCCCTGCCAGCCTCCCTCTCCTTGGCCTGCTTCTCTGTGAATGGAGAGACTGCTGGAAGAGAGGGATTTCTGACGTCTCGGTCCCCTGTTGTCATGTTACTCGAGGAACAGAGAAAGAGAGGGGCCACTGTCACCTGGTTTTTCTTCCTTGACCTTGAGTTTCCTTGACCTTGAGTTTCCTTGACCTTGTGTAATGGCACAAAAGAAGCGCCTGCTCCAGCCCCATCTCCTACAAGCTCCCTCATCCCGCACCCTGGATGTCTCTGCCCCTCCCTCCCTGTGCCAGAGAGGAGGGGTGGCCTTGCAGTCTCTGTGCTCATGCTAAGCACCTGTGCATTTCTGGGTCCTCCGAGCTGTAGACTAGCAGCCATAGGGGCTGGAAAGGTGGAGGAGGAGAACTGTGCTCTGTCACTGCTGTATGGTGCTGGGCAGCCCTCTTTGCCCTCCTTCTGAGCCTCAGTTTCCCTGACTGACTAAGATGAACCCTGAGCCTCAGCTCTGACATTACAGAGGTGGAGAGCTCATCCATTGTAATTTCAGCCCTGACCTTGGCACAGAAAGGTGGGGGGAGGGTCTCCATAAACATCAGTTCAACAAATGAAAGGATTTTGTTTTAGCCGCCTTCTGTTCCTCCTGATTCTTCAACAAAGAGGGCTCATCAAAGCCTTTCTTGTGGACCCCCACCCTGGCCCTGTGGCCCTACAGCCACACCTCTACTTCCCAGAAGGTGGGTTGGACAGGGCCAGAGAACACCATGTTGACTCATCCTTCCTGATCCATCAGCCCCAACCTTACCAGCCCTGGTCCTGATCTGCTGGGCAAGGAAGTTGAGAGACTGTGTTAAGACGCAGGGCAGACTGACACAGAGAAGGAAGACCAGCCGCTGGAAGTGTGTTTCTGTGTGTCTGCAGGGTGGGTGACATGGGGACAGATGCCCTGATGAGAAGATTCTGGATTCCTAGGTTTGGGACATATGTCAGTAGTGAAGGTCAGGATGGCCAGTGGGGACCGTCCTTGTGACTTCCCCTCCCCTTCCAGCAGGGAAGCAGCGTCCTTTCCCTCCAGGAGCAAATCATACCCATAACTACAACAGCAGGGACATCTGAGAGTTGCAAACTTGGGTTTAAATCCTGGCCCATCCTTTCTTCGGTGAGTCATGTCATTTCCGAACCTCAATTTTGCCATCTGAGGAATAAAGACTACCATACCCATCTCTGGACGTGTGAGCATAGGAAGATAATATTTTAAATGTGTAAGCCACCCCACATCGTGTCTGGAATGGTGTGGAATATGGGTAAATTAGGACTCAAGTGATAAAGGTACCCCTTGTCTCGGGAAGGTGCCTGGTAGCTGATGAGGCAGTATGCTAGAAGGGTCACAAGGGAAGTGGGAACAGAGTGTGGGGTTCAGGGGAGGGAGTGATGATTTCAGAGGAGGAAGTGGAGGAGGTGACAGGTGGGCAGGGCTGTGAAGGATGGGCAATATTTGTAAAGGAGAGAAGTACTTGCCCATCAGAGTTCTCTATTGCTGTCTAGCCAGCCATGCCAAAGCTGAATGGTTGAAGAAGCAAGGAGTTGGTATTTCTCGCAATTCTGTGGGCTGACCAGGTGGCTCTTCTCGGTCTGCCCTGGGCTCCTTGCAGCTGCATACAACTGGGGCTGGGCTTCTCTTGACAGGTGAGTCTGATGGGTCTTTGGCGTTCGGTGGTGGCTGGATTTGGTAAGAATGGGAGCAAGGCTGCAAGCTCTTAAATCCTGGCCTGAGCAACTTGCCCAGCATCTTTTCATTCCATTCTGTCGATCAAAGCCACTCCTGAGCATCCCCCCCCCACCACCATTTTAAGCGTTAGGAATAGGCACCACCTCTGCCTGGGAGCAGCATCAGTGTCAGAATACAGTGGGCTGGAAGACCACGAAGAGATTCTGTGGCCATGTTGGCCAACAATCTACAAAACAGTGGTAAATGGGGGTGCCTGGGTGGTTCGGTGGGTTAAAGCCTCTGCCTTCAGCTCAGGTCATGATCCCCGGGTCCTGGGATCCAGCCCCGCATCTGGCTCTCTGCTCAGCGGGGAGCCTGCTTCCCTTCCTCCCTCTGCCTGCCTCTCTGCCTACTTGTGATCTCTGTTTGTCAAATAAATTAAAAAAAAAACAAACAGTGGTAAATGAAAGCCTGCTGTGGGACACCCCCTACCCCACCCCCAAGTGTAGCGGAATTCCCTGTGTGACCATGATAAAAGCTGTAGTTTATCCACAGGGCACCAGCTCCTTTTCAGCTGCTGCCCCATCCCCATCTCGTGCTCCCTAGTCCATCCTCAGTTGACCAGCCAGGGTGTAGGAGCCATCACTGGTCGGAGGACACAGGACATGCCAGAGACCCTGCAGGGAAGGAGCCAGGAATGGGCATTCCCGCTTCCCTCTCTCTGCTCTCTTTTCTGCCAAGGTTCCCCTCTGCCTGAGCCCCTTTGTGAGCTGGAGGGCACAAGGGCCTGAGGCTGCAGTGTACACAGGTAGGCCTCCAGGAAGGAATGGGGTGCAGACAGGTGGACAGTGGTTCTGCAGAGGTCCAAGGAAGACAGATGTCCACCTTCAAGTCCAAGCTTCTTAGTGCCTTTCGCCACTCTTCCATCATCTGGCCCAGTTTTCTCAGTCCTCATTTGTCCTCCTCCTCTAGTCATGGGCTCCCATCACGCTGAACCATTTGTATGTAGTTCCTTGTATCAGATTTGCTGTCTTTCTCCCCTCTAGGCTTTGCCCATGCTGTTCCCTCTGCCTGGAATGGCATCTCCCCTGCCCCACCTCCCCCTTTGTCTGGGAAATTCCCATTCATCCTTCAGTACTGGTTTCCTTTATTCGGGAAGGCCTTTCCTAATGCCCCTGGTTGAGGTAGGGGTCTCACGGGGTGCCCCGACTTCCCCTTCCTCTGCCATGGCACTCACACCTGGGTGGCTGCTGGGTGGTCCCAGTCCCATGCATGATACCTCTGCCTCCAGTGAGCCCCCTCCAGCCTATCCACGTGTAGCACCTGCCTCCACTCTCCAAACAAAACCCAACACCCTAAAATGGTCTCCAACACCTGAGGATAATGCCCAAACTCCTCCTCAGCCTCCAGTGCCTTCCTCATCTGCCCCTAGACCTCACCAGCCTCCCACTGGATCTTCTCCCCTGCACCATCACCCTGGCACCCCTCGCTGCTTGTTGAGTGCACACTGCTCTCGCACCCGCTATGTCCCAGGGCATGCTGTTCCCTTGCCTTGAAACATGCTTCCTTCTAGACTGGTTGATGTCACCCATCCCCAAAGGGTGCCTCCTTTGTCGGCCATTAGCACACCCCACCTGCTCTCCTACCCTGACTCCCACCTCACTGCCCTGAAGCAGAGTTAGTTACCTCTCTTTTGGGCTAGTTTTAGGGGTGACAGGGCCATGGTCCACGGTCATTAATGGGTGAGTGGACTCCTGTGTCTGCCAATAGACTGGGAAAGCCCTGAGGGCCAAGACCAGATCCTGGCCACCCTCAGCCCCACCCCAGCACCCTGCTTAGACTCAAGGCACCTCAGCGCCACACTGGGTGAGAACTGGTTGGATAAATGAATCCTTGCATGGCACTTCCTCTTGGGAGGCCTGGGGCAGGGACAAGGCCGAGAAGACCCAGGCCTTGCTTTTGGAGATCACTAAATAAGTTCTCCATGGCTATGTGACTCCAAAACTGAGCAGCTTTAAACCACAAATAGTCATTGTCTCACAGTTTCTGAGGTCAGGAATCTGGAAGCGGCTTCTCTGAGGGATACTGGCTGAGGCGTCTCCTGAGCTGCAGCCACGCCATCATTGGCAGTTCCAGAGGACTTGAGTCAGCCAGAGGAACCACTCCCAAGCTCCCCCATGTGGTTGTCGGCAGGAGGCTCTGTCCGCCTCTGTGCGGGCCTCTCCACAGGGATGCCAGTGGTGTGCCTTCTCCCAGAGCAAGTAAAGAGAAGGGCCACATTACCTTTTATGACCTCGCCTCTGTGTCACACACCATCAATTCTGCCCTATCATATTCGTGAGATGTGAGTCACTAAGTCCCGCTCACACTGTACAAGGGTGTGAATCCCTGGATGGGAGTTCCCTGGGGGCCGTCTTGGAGCTATCTCAGGGACGGCAGATGAACCCTCAGAGGCTGCGCGAGGTAACTCGCCCATCTGGCCTCAAAGAGGGTCCCCAAATGGGTGGGGCACAGAATGAGCAGGGATGGGGAGCAGAGAGAATGCTGGCCATAGCCACCTGGCCTGGCTGGGATGGAGGAGGAGGTGACCATGAGATTTGAGGGGGTTTGGATGGGGGAGGGGAGTGATGAGAGACTTGGGAGGGCCAGAGGGCAGAGAATTCTTCCCTTTTCATCGTGACCCAGGAGGCCTCACGTGGAGGACCAGGGCAGCAAAAGAAAGGAGGCTAGGGCCTCATCTCAGAGGAGGGCTGCCCCAGAGAGCTGCTCGGCTGGGAAGAGGCACACTGGACTTTGAGCAAAACATGTCCTTTTCCTGAGCGATTGCAGGTGTTTGTCTAGGGGTTGGTCTCCCCAACTGACGCAGTGTGCCAGAGCTGCACATGAAAGGGGCCAGTAATTAAATTAGTCCCTCCTGACTGACACTCCTCAGGGCCCCCAGAGCCTGCCTCAGGGGCCTGGGCATTGTCTCAGCGTAAGAACAGCTCCCCACCCCAGCGCATACACACAGATTCAGATAGCCAGAGGATGACAGGTTTTGCCAGACGTGGTGGACAGGGTAAGAGGCCCTCGAGTGTGGGGTGCGCTGGAGTCTTCCAGAAATCATGCTGCCCTTTGGCCTCGGCAGAAGTTCTCAGAAGGCATTACCCACAGGGAGCAAAGGGCCCACTG